TCGCTGTCAGTTTTAATGCCATGTACATGACGTGGACATAAGGACATATGTAGACAAAACACAGTATACAGTGTGCACACATACACAAGACAGGCAAGAAACAGACCACGTAGCTGCTTAAAACCTATTAGATTGAGAGCTCACCCTTGCAAACTGGCCTCTGAACAAAGCAGAATGGAGAAAAAAAAACTCTTGGATAAAAGAGGATCGATAAGAAAATCATTAATCTTGGTGCACAGGATCAAAAACCGAGAGCTCAAAAAATATAGAATTTGTAAAAAAAAAGTCCTATAAAAATATAATATGGCCATAATTAAAATAACCTACTATTACTTATGAGGGTGAGGCTCCCTCTTAATAAACAAAAAGGAAACAGAAATATGGGCACAGGTGCTGAGAAAACTGGGTTTTTTTGGCTGGGGGCAACTCCCAATCCCAGAGCCTCTAGGGATCAACGTTTCCGTCTTTCCTTCCATGACCTCTGTCTGGGGCCTCACTCAGAATGGAGGATTCTAACTAACCTTTTGAAAATTATTTTGAGGGAGGACATTTGCCAGCTAGTTGTGCCCTTAAATCTTCTTCCACGTTCCTCATAGAACCATGGTTTCATCTTAAGCTCCTCAATTTTAAGTGTGAGGCAAGTCTCTTAGTATTCTGGGTGATGTCTCCACTAGAGAATATAAATAGTTGGGGTTCTTGGACTTGGACAGATGAAGGGTAGTTTTATTCTAGTTAACTGAGACAGATTTTTTGTTTTTGTTTTTTTCCTGCCAGATGAGGGGAGTAAAAGAGAAAATGTGTCTCAGGAGAGTCTAGGGAAGGAAGTCTAATTTTGAAACGAGGGGAGCTCTGTCTTGAGATTCTCTCAAGAGTTTCATAATCTGGTCATAAAAGTCTCCTCCTGCAGGGAAACTTGGTTTCTCTTGTCAACCTTATTTTGGGCCGGGATTCCTCCTGCAGGGAACAGGTAGTTTGCTAAGGAATGTGACATATCCTGTCCTCAGAGGTCAGTCAGGGGCGCAGGCAAACTGCCTCCTGGAAAAGAAATCATGTAGGGGTCAGTATTTAGCATGCTCTCTGCTCCCCACGTCCTTACCTGACTAGTGACAAAAGGTGGGCTAAAGGTGGAGTGATCCAAGGGTGGGAATGGCGTGGCCCAGGGGTACTTCAACTCCTATAACTCCCTCCCCTGAGCCACATTACCTTAGCAGCAGGGAGGGGTGGGGCAGTGTGAAACGTCCTGAAGGTGTAAACATTTTATCTTCTCCTGATTGGCCCCTATCTTTCTTGACCCAGTCTTTTGTTATTTAACCCTCTGGACGATGAAGCCTCTAGCTACGTAGAGCTGAGAGTGAGTGACTGGGGAAAGCAGTTAGGAATGTCTGGGTCTTTTGAGGGGCCATGGGTACTGCTTTGAGAGAAACAAAAAGACATGAGTACTAGAGTGAGATTATACAAGATAAATGTGGCAGCATCTGGAACCTGTCAATGAAAATCATAAAGAAGATAGAAACCATTCATCTTTCTTTTATCAGGTGACGCTAGAGCTAAGTTGTTCCTTTCACAAGGCCAGTGAGGACGAGGCCTGTATTTGGGAATGTGAATCTTTAAGGATGTGATTACATTGTCAGAGATGTTGTGGCCTCTCACAGGTCGCTGCCAGGGTTGTGTCTCCTCCCTTGGTTTGAGCCCACCCCTGGTGGGGTGGGTGTGAGTGGAGGTGACTTGTCTGGGCAGCCTGGGTCATGTGGCAGAGCCTTGGGATTTGGGGAGGGGCAGCAGGGAAGCTGGACATGCCCAAAGTGGTGTGCCCCTGCCTGGGTTAAACTATGACCCAAACATGTGCCAGCACGCTCCCCGACACAGCTCACTGCAGGTGGCACTGATGGGTGCTAGTGACCTGCAGGCAAAAGCGGGGCTGGTGCATGGCTATTCTGGGTACAGTAAATGAAGAAAAGGGCTGGGGGTCAGGACTTGACCTAGGGGGCTTATGGAGGGGGTGTTGACAGAAGAAATTGTAGGGTGGAGCAAGGTGTCTTGGGCTCTGAGTGGAGGCTACAAGAAGCTTGGAGGAGGGAGCCCCAGGCCATTTGCCATTTCATTGGAGGAAATTGTTTAAATCTTGGAGGATTTGGGGTTCAAAGGTCATGAATTCTGAATGGAAGCATTGACTCAGGTGGCCTAATTTAAATTGTGGACAGGTTGGTGGAGAAACCCTGGGTTCCAGATGAGCACTCGGGCAATCTAAGGGAAAGTCCCATGGGAGCCCCCATTTTGAAGGTGTGACAGGGGGGCAGTTGAGACCCAGGCCTTCCTTGACGTCTCTCTCCCATCACCAGACAGAGTTCTGCCAGAGAATGAGGAATGTCTTCTCTCCATCCTCAATGGTGGGGGACCCCTGGGGTCCGAAAGGGCAAAAGGCGAGGGTCTCAGGCCGTGCGCCTGCACTAGAGACCGGAAGGGATCTGGCCCCTCCAAGGAACGAGAAGGCCGGTGTTGCGTTGAGGAACAAAAGGGCAGAAAGTGGCCTCGGGTTCGGAGGTCTCACGGAGAGAAGGAAACTGCCGTTGGAATGGGGAGGGGTAAAAAGAAACCCCAAACACCCCCCTCCAGGTCAGCAAACCGAGAAAGCACACGGAAGGAAATGCAAAAAGAAAAAATGGAGGAAGAACTCATGGCCCAGTGAGGCTTTGTTCAGCAGCGGAGGGGCACGTCCTCAGGGGAAATGGTAGTGGGCCACTAGGAGGGTCTGGCTTTTCTGCGGCCTTAGCAGAGCCAGGTCATGAGAGGAGTTAGTTGCTTTTGGTGGGCCCTCTTGGTGGGGAGGGCCAGGTCAAGGGGGGCCGCCCAGGCAGGGAAGAAGGGCAGGTAGGGAAGAGTGAGGAGGGGTCCTCCCTTCCCATCCCGGAGGAAGAAGGTGACTCCCTTCCTCCCTGTGTGCAGACCCCAGAGCAGGTTGACCCTCGTTGGCCTGGGCTCCGGGATGGAGCCTCCTTGGACCAACCCTGTGATGGGTCAGCTTCTGCGATGGATGAACCTGGAGGGCAGGCTGTGCCACTGTCACCCCCAGGAGGGGGCTCAGGCAAGACCTTTTCTCCCAAACCCCTCAGGACACGAGGCTGAAGTCACCAGCCCCCCTGGGCTCTGCCACTGGGCAAAGACCAATGGGTCAATGTCAACACTGACTGTCAGTATTGACGTCATAGTTCAGATGTGGGTGTCCCCCAAAAGCTCCCG